TTATAGAGTCACATATATATGGTTTTTTGTTTCAGGCTTCTTTTACTTAGCTTAATGTTTTTTTGGGTTCATCCATGTTCTGAGTTCTTTTTTTTTTTTTTTAAGATTCTATTTATTTATTTTGAAAGAGAGAGCGTAAGCAGGGGGAGGGGCAGAGGCAGAGGGAGAGAGAGAATCCCAATCAGACTCCATGCTAAGCATGGAGCCCAACACAGGGCTTAATCCCACAACCCCGAGATCATGACCTGAGCCGAAATCAAGAGTCAGACACTTAACAGACTGAGCCACCCAGGGCCCCCATGTTCTGAATTCTTGAAAACTGATATGTTACAGCCTGTATCAGTACTTTGTTTCTTTTTGTAGCTGACTAGTATTCTATTGTGTAGCTATACCACATTTATTTACCCAGTTAATAGCCTGTTGTAGCCTGTTAACATTATCACACCTAAATAGATTAATAATCCTCCTGGCATCACCTAATACTTAGGTTGTATTCAGATCTCTCCAGGATCCAGTCCAGGACCATACACTGCAATTTGTGTGTCCTTAAATCTTTTTTAATCTACAGCTCTCCCTTTTTTCATGGTACTAACTAGCTAAAGACACCATGCTAGCTGACAGTCCTAGCTCTTGGATTTCTTTGAATGTTGCTTGTGGTGTGCCTTAGCTTGTTCTTCTATTCTCTCTATTTTGTGTAAATTTTGATTAAATTCCAGTTAACATTTTTGGCTAGGATTCATCAGAGATAATATTGTCATTTCATATTGTATCATCTCCTTAGGAGATAAATAGTATGTGTTTGTTCTGTCATTTATAATGCTAACATTGATAATTAGCACTCTAATTCCTCCAATGTAAAGCTTATATTGTTTCAGTCCTTGTGAGTAAAAGGTTATCTTTGTGGTGTTACTTTGGTACCACACAGATGTCCAACTCCTTATTAATCTTCCCTTTGATGATTAAAACACTGATTAATAATCATTGCCTGAATTCATAATTTCATGAGAAGTTGCAAAATTATAGTTTTCTTATTCTGTCACTGTACCTACATTTAAAATTGGCATTTTTCTGTAAAAAGGAGTTTTCCCTCTTTAATTAGAGCTATTTGTCTCCCCTGAACTATAGATCATTCTTTAAAGCAGAAAAAAATACAAGCTTGTCTTCCCTGCCCCAAACCAACAGTTTTCAGTTAAGGAGTTGATGTAATAGTGCCTCACTGAAATGTAGTAAATTGATCTTACTCAGTTGCACATATTGTACACTTTCCACTATGGTATTCTCTTTAAATTTATGGATTAAACAGAAATTGTGTGTGTAAGGATGTTGAGTTTCCAAACAAGTTTTTTTTGTTTATGTGTTTTTCAAGTTATGTTTTTGTTATAATTATATTGTGGTCAAATAATGTGGCCTCTGTTAAATTGAGGTATGTTTTTGTTTTTTGGTTTTTTTTCTTTAAGTAGTCTTTGCACCCAGTGTGGGTCTTGAACTCCCAACCCTGAGATCGAGTTGCCTGCTCTATCAACTGAGCTAGCCAGGCACTCCTGTTAAATTGAGTTTTAAAAATTCTTGAAATGTCTTATATAGCCTAACATGATCAATTTTTTAATAAATGTTTCATGTGATTTTGAAACGAATATTACTATTCTATTAAACCAAATTTGTTAATATTATTTGAAACATGCATATCCTTATTTTTGGCCTGCTGATGTATTATTTTGGGGGATTTGTTAAAAACCTTCCATTAGGATTATAGATTTTTCTATTTGTACTCATACTTTTCAGAGTTTGCTTTATATTTTTTTGAGGCTATGTTTTTATGTTTATATAGCTTCATGACTGTTAAATGATCTTATTTGATGGCTGCTTTTATTAGTAGCAAAATCTTCTTGTTCTTTTTGAATGCTGTTCATTTAAAATATGTGACATTAGTATTTAATTGCAGCAGCCTTCTGATTGGCATTTTCCTGATATGTTTTCTTATTTACTAATTTTAAAACTTTTGTGTTGTTTTGTTTTAGGCATGTGTCTTATAAGCAGTATAATGGCAGAATTTTAAGCCAATTTGAGAATCTCTTGTCTCTTAGTAAGTGAGTGTATATTTACTCTGACAGTACATTTATATTTACTTCTTTTTTTACTTTTTAAAACTTTTAATTTTTTTAGAGCGGGGGTGGGGGTAGAGGCAGAGGGAGAGGGAGAGAGAATCTCAGGCAGGATCCACACCCAGGGCAGAGCCTGATGCAGGGCTTGATCTCATGACCTTGAGATCATGACCTGAGCCAAAACCAAGAGTCAGATGCCCAACAGACTAAGCCACCCAGGGGCTTCCATTTATATTTACTTCTGACATCTTTTGTGTTTTCTATTTGCCATGCATTTTCTCTGCTTTTTTTCTCTTGTCCTACCCCCTATTGATTGGATAGCTTACTTTGTTTCTTTTATTTCTCAATCAGTATGGAAGATATATAGTCCATACCTACTAATTCAGTGGTCCTTCTAAAGGTTAATGTATATTCTTAAATGAATTTTTTGCACAGTCCTAAAGTTTATCACTCTCTCCTTCTTCCTCCTGAATTAGGTAAGAATATTAACATATTTTAATTTTGTGAGAATCTTTTTTTATAGCAACCATGTCATTTTTATATGGTATTTTAGTTTCACTTTTTCTGACCTCCTTAAAAAGAATAATTTTTTTTCTTCTTCTTCTCCCTCTCTCTTTTTGTTTTACTATCTGTATTAGTTTTTACTATCTTTTAATTATCTCCTTGCTTCCATTTGTTTCTTTCATGCCGTTCCTTCCTCCTGAGTTCATTTTTCTACATACTAAAATATATATTCCTTTGGTACTTTGAGCTAGAGTTTATAGACTTTATAAGTCCTAGTCTGTTTGAAAGTGTCTTTATTTCATCTTCAATTCGCTTGAAATCTCTAAAATTCATCTATAAGATAGGTACAGTAAAACCAACTGGCCCACTATATAGCATTATTTGGGGAAAACTAATAATATTTGTTTTGAACACTTCATAAATTTTTATATTTATCTGTGTGTATATATACATATATATAAAGTACTATTATTATTAACTAATGTAAATCCTGTTAGATTTATATTAGAATTACTATATTTTGAGTGGATTTTTAAAATCATTCCTTACTATGTTGAGATAATATTCCCTAAAATAAGAGAATATAATACCTAATAGAAATACCATGAATTGTACGTGGTCACACTTTGGGAGAAGAACTAGGATAAGATGAAACTCAGAATCCTGACTGCTAGCTTAGGGTTGCTACCACTCAGTGGAACTTTTGAAATATGCAAGCATAAAATTAAATTTTTTGGCTTTGTTTTTATATATTTACAAAGACAAAAATGAATAGTGTGGAAAATCCAAATGATACAAAAAGAAAAATGAAAGAAAGAAGAAATCTTCCAGAAGTCCCACAGAATAGAAACCATTGACATACTGGGACACATCTTTCTAGAAATCTTGCTCAGCATATGTGACTCTATGGGTTTGTAGATAATTATCTTTTCATTTTTCAAAAGGACTCATAGCACATAAGCAGTTTTGCAACTGCAGTTTTCATTTAGTAATATATCAAGGAAATGTCGGTAATATAGTTTCGTTGCATATAGTGAATAAGTATATGCGCTTGTATGGATGTATCATAGTTTTGTTTAACCAGTTCTCTATTGGGAGGCATTTAAATCAAATTTTTTCATATTTTAAATTACACACAGTTGCCTGCTTATTTCTTTAGGATAAATTGCTAGCAGTGGTATTGCTTGGTCAAAGGGTGTGTATGTTTAAAATTTTGATACTTGTTTTCAAATTTCCCTCCAGAGTGCATGAGAATGCCTTTTCCCCTCACACATACTGAATATTGTCATGTTTTTTCCTTGAATTTGCTGGTTTGCGATTTTTGTCAATATTTCTGCTTACTTGTGAGTTTGAATATCTTTTCTTATTTAATTGATCATTTGTAGTTCTCTTGAGAATTTCTCTTTTGGCCATTAATTCTCTTGTAGTATTCATCTTGTTCTTAATTTGTATGAAGCCTTTTTTTTATTGGGTTTACAAATCTTTGTCATAAAATTTCAGGTGTTTTTTTTCCCAGTTTGTTTTTTATCTTCCAACTTTGTTTGTGCTTTTTATTGTTGTTTTGTTTCTCCAGTTTTCTGTTTGTCTTTATTTTTTTGCTTTTCAATCTTGTTCAAGAAATTTTTGAAATTATATTATTTCCTTACAGTTGAGTAGTTGAAAGGTCTTCCCCACTTCAAAACTATTAAAATATTCATCCATATTTTCTTTTAGTGCTTTGAAAGGTTCATTTTTCTCCCACTTGAGTCTTTAATGCATTGGAAACGTTTTTTGTATAAGGAGGGATATATGTCAGTGCCTCCCTGTTTTTCATGTCCTGCTCTGGTTTTCAAGCTTGCCTAGTAAAGACCAAGACAGGAACGTAGTGAATCATGGCAGGAAGCGAGATTTGCCTCACTGTTTCTCTTCTCACGGTCTATCAGTGTGCCTGGGGTAAGTGCTCAGAGGGGAAGGGTGGGTTGGGAAGTGGTAGTCGGCAGTCGCACACCGGGGTTGCCTGCTGTGAACGCAGGTGTAGAACAGGGGATGAAGGAAAGGATACCAGCACAGTGTCTCTTAGAAGTTTTGTGTTTCGCTTATTTGAGTGACCGCTGAGTACTTATTCAGGGAAGTCAAACTGTGGTAGGGTGACCGAAGACACCAGGTGACGTGAGAACGACGTGAGAACTTAGATGTATGTTTTAAGCCTTGAACGCCAAGTGCTCTTTTTCCATGATGAAGCCATGGACTCTCTGAATTCTATGGGCTAGTGGTAACTTTTTTAACTTTTTATTTCAGTATCTGTTTCTAGTTCAGAAAGAAACTGGAGGAGCTGGGCTTGTTTCTTTCCCCTCTTTGACTTCTGATCCCCTGACCCCTAGGTAAATGCTGTTAAGTTTCTTCTCTGTCTTATAGAAATTTCAAGCATTATTTTTGCTGCATACTACTGAATGTCCAGTTAGTGAAATTGAAGGTCTTTCACTCAGAAGAAATAAATCAAGAAGCAGGTAAGAAATAGAAATATATTTATGGCTTTGAAACCTATTTTCCTTTAAGTAGTAAGAATTTATAAAGATGATTTTTTTTTTTTTTTTAGGATAATTCCTTTGACAATAAAAATCAATTTAGAGAACACAAACAGGGAAGAATAGCTGCCCAGGGAAGAACACAGCTGGTGATGACAGACCCTATTTACTGAACACTTACTGGCCAGCTACGTGTTTTGTACATGTTATCCCCCATTTACGCTGTCCTGACATCTTCTGGGCAGAGATGTGGAAGCTGAGGCTCCGAAAGATAAAGAACATACCTGCTTGCCCTGTTTGTTGAAAGTCAGACCTGGGGTGGGGATGCGGTCTCTGCCCTTAGAGCGGCCTGCGTTGTAGGTAATCTAAAGTCTGTCCGGCCAGTCCTCGAAAAGACCTTTCCCCTTTTTTGGACTAGAGAGTTCTTCTTCTACTTGCTGCTGCTTTATTTTCTTTGTGGGCCCACAAGCAGTAGACCTCATGACTACAGGCACATTTTCACTTCTAGAAACCATGGCTTCTAGAACGCACGTAAGATCACTTCTGTAATAAGATTTGCTGTTTTGAGTTCTTCCCATTATCGAAGAGTAACGGGGCCTTCGTTGCCTCTATGCAGTTATAAAGGCTGCTCCTCACACAGGATACTTTCTTTCTTTTTGTTTTTTTTTTAAAGATTTTATTTATTTATTTGATACAGAGAGTGAGAGAGCACAAGCAGGGGGAACAGTAGAGGGAGAGGGAGAAGCAGGCTCCCCGCCAAGCAGGGAGCTCGACGCGGGGCTTGATCCCAGGACCCCGGGATCATGACCTGAGCCGAAGGCAGACGCTTAACCAACTGAGCCACCCAGGCGCCCCGGATACTTTCTTTCTTTTTGTCCGAAATTTATTAGAATGTGCTTGTTTGTTAGAATGAGATGTAAAACTGCACCTGACAAGTGGTGTAATAAATGTGCAGGCTTTCATCGGCCGAGGTATAAATTGAGCGTCCTAAAGTTGTGGGCGGTATCTAGTAGCCAGATGAGGAGAAAATGTAAGAAGAGCTTAGTTCCTTCTCTAATCCTTTCTCTAGGTCTCTTCTGTTTCAGGTTTTTCCAGGAGCTGGCTATGTAAGGCTAGTAAGGGGGAGGGAGGAGGATGGAGTGGGATGGACAGACCTACCTTTTATCCTTATACAACTAGAAATAGCATAACAGACAAGTCTGTGTTCATTGCACTCCTGCTGTAGGTCTCTCTCTGTCTTGCACTTTGACAGTTGTGAGAACAACTTCGCCACCAAGGTCATAGAATATAAATTGAGAGGCAAGACACATACATGAAACTGAACTGGAGAGTTTGCCAGAACATTCCATTGTATTGTGTGACTTAAAGTATAGAAAGCACTAGAGAAAGGAAAGATTACCGTGACCAGACTAGTCAGAGCAGGTAAGATATGGCCAGATAGTGAGGACAAGGGGTCTTGAGATCCTGTCATCTTCATAGTTTTAAGAGGCAGAAGACCTGTGTGTCCAGAGACCTAAGACTTACCCAAAGTAGAACCCTTGGGAGGCCAGCCTTCCCATATAGTGACATTAATGTACGCCCCCCCATAACAAATTCTGGCTTCCCAGAGCCCTCCCCCCAGATGATTGTGGGTGAAAGGGCACCATCAGGACCTCCTCAGCCTGCCCCCCATGTTGTTGATCTGTCCCTCCTTCTGAAGTCCCTTAGCGTTTGATATAAACAGTCTGCCATGTTTCCCCATTGCCTTGGGATTGCCTTCTTCTCCCATGTCCTTCCTCTGGTCTTCTTAGTGCTTGGTGTAGTCTGTGGATGGGAGGATCTAGGAAACATTGTGTTTGTGTTTGTCTTTAGATCATGGTACCAGGAAAGCCCTGCGGGATCCTGAATTGTACACCAGCCTCGTCCTCGGGATCCAGCGCAGAGCTGAGGCCGCACTGTCACTGCGGGCCGAGTGCTCTGTGTCCCCTACCTCTGTTCTCGTCTCAGCTGGGGGTCTGTGTAAAAGCACGTGTTCTTGGGGGTTCCCTCCCATGATTCTGATCTGGCGCGGGGTTTCTGAATAGATTAGAATGGGAAACACATGAACACTCCATACAGGGGACAGGCCTTTAATTTAAGCGCTTGCTATCCAGACTGAGCACTGAGTTCAGCCAGTGAGGTAAAAGGGGAGCTGGGATGTGTTTTGGACAAGTAAAAGCTCCTTCACAGTCCTGAGCATTGGTTATCCTGTTTGTGTCTAGAGGACTTGCCTCTCAGGTGAAGAGTCTCTGCTTTCCTCCCATCTCACGTGAATAACTGTAGCTACTGGGTTTTCCTTATTCCGGATTTGTTAGAATCCACATCAGATCACAAAGCTGAGAAAGACCCTTGGTTTATTGGGACATGTCGCTGGTAATATCTCCTTGCATTAATTTCTTTACGTCTTTTCCATACCCATGAAGAAAAAATGCAACTTTTTGTTCTGGGTTTTGTTTTGTTTTCATTGCAGGTTTATTTTTTAACCCCCATTACTCATCTCTCTCTGTCCCTCGGGACATCCAGGACAAAATTGTATTTCAACAGTTATTTAAATCAAACAAAAAGTATTATTTTTCCCAGAGTAATGAAGGATATGTTTTTAACCTTGATCTTGATGTAAAAAGCTAAAATGCACTCTTGGTTGTTGGTATCCATTTGCTTATAGTTAAATGAAATTAAGGAGGCTTGGGTCAGGATTCTTGGTTTGCTTGGGAGCTTTTATTGTCCCGACTCTCACTTTAAGGAGATAATCAGATACCATTTAATGATGTGTCTTGGGTGGTGGAGTACTAACCAGGTCTTTGATAAATCTTCCAGAACCTGAGGCTCGCGTGCTTTGGAGCTGCTGTGGATGGCCCTGGCTCTCTTGACCACCCTTCCGAGTAGGATGTCACTGAGATCCCTCAAATGGAGCCTCCTGCTGCTGTCCCTCCTGAGTTTCCTTGTGATGTGGTACCTCAGCCTGCCCCACTACAATGTGATAGAACGTGTAAACTGGGTGTACTTCTATGAGTATGAGCCAATTTACAGACAAGACTTTCGCTTCACGCTTCGAGAGCATTCAAACTGCTCTCATCAAAACCCATTTCTTGTCATCCTGGTGACCTCACACCCTTCAGATGTGAAAGCCAGACAGGCCATTAGAGTTACTTGGGGTGAAAAAAAGTCTTGGTGGGGTTATGAGGTTCTTACATTTTTCTTACTAGGCCAACAGGCTGAAAAGGAAGACAAAATGTTAGCATTGTCCTTAGAGGATGAACACCTCCTTTACGGTGACATAATACGACAGGATTTTTTAGACACATATAATAATCTGACCTTGAAAACAATTATGGCATTCAGGTGGGTAACTGAGTTTTGCCCCAATGCCAAGTACATCATGAAGACAGACACTGATGTTTTCATCAATACTGGCAACTTAGTGAAGTACCTTTTAAATGTAAACCACTCAGAGAAGTTTTTCACAGGTTATCCTCTAATCGATAACTATTCCTATAGAGGATTTTACCAGAAAGCCCATATTTCATACCAGGAGTATCCCTTCAAGGTGTTTCCTCCCTACTGCAGTGGGTTGGGTTATATAATGTCCAGAGATTTGGTGCCAAGAATCTATGAAATGATGAGTCACGTAAAACCCATCAAGTTTGAAGATGTTTATGTTGGGATCTGTTTGAATTTATTAAAAGTGGACATCCATATTCCAGAAGACACAAACCTTTTCTTTTTATATAGGATCCATTTGGATGTCTGTCAACTCAGACGTGTGATTGCAGCTCATGGCTTTTCTTCCAAGGAAATTATCACATTTTGGCAGGTTATGCTGAGGAATACCACATGCCATTATTAATTTGACAAAAGCCTAGAGAAAGACAGGATACTCTTTGGATAATATTAAAATTACTTTAAAATCTCCAATGGAAAACTCATGGGAAGGTCACTGTGTTGACTTACACTCATGAAGTGCCCATGGACTGGGGACTGGAGGGGTTACACTTGTGACTTATTTAGACAAAAATCAAGTCAGGCCCTCTAACGGGAGGAAATGGGAGATTTTTGTTAATAAAACTAATAGGACAAAATTATTTGAACATGCCATTCTAGAAATTAGAACGTGTTAAAAGGATTTCATTGGATTATAATCTCATCAGTCCGTAAAAACAAAGCAATGTGGAGTTCTAATCATTGAACAGAATAGTCAGGTAAAGGTTTTGTGTATATCTTACATGGGTTACCAGTTTTTAAAAATACATAGTTCTGTGTAAAAAAACTGAAGTTATACTGAGCAAAATTTCATCCATTTTGGTCATTCAGAGGGTACTTCAAGATGTTATAGCATTTCACAGTTATGAATTACTGTCTAATATTACGTAGGACTTTCTGATGTTTGAATGTTATGGTTGTTTCAATACTTTATAAAGATAATAATGAATCAGCCTTTACATTTGAACTTTTCTCCGGTTACTTCACTGATGAGTTTATTGTTTGATAGCTCCATTAGTGTAAAGTCATTGGTCATTATTGCATATCAGTAATCTCTTGGACTTTGATAAATATTTTACCGTGGTAATACAGAGAAGAATTAAAACAAGAAGATCTGAATTATTGTCTTGTTTTTAAAAATGTAATTCCCAGTGTTTTTATGTCACTACATCTGTCTCATTTTTCCACTTGAAAATTGGGAATAATATATAGAATGCCAGGCTGCATGTTTCCTTTTGGAAAGGACTCTGAAGACAAAAAAGAAAAGAGAGAACCCAATGGCCAGGATATTATGAATGTTATTATGAATCTGTTTCATGTGTGTTCTCATTAACTGTCAATTTGAGAATAAAGACGGAAAAAACATGCTGCTGCTATTGTTACTAGTTTCACATCAAAAGGAAAGCCTTAATGTGTGGTCGAAGATCATAACTGAATTCCATGTCATGTAGAAGCACATTTCTTCATAGGAGTGGTGATGGAGATCACTTCTGACCTACCGGTAGGTCAAAGAGGAAAACTCCTTCCCCATATTCTTGGGGTTGTGCAATTTCCCATTGTGGCTGATATGGGACAAGTGATTCCTTTTTTCTGGAGGACAGGTTGGCAAAAGATCAAAGCCATTGGCAGAAAATAAAAACGTGAAAATATGTAGTTAGCTCTAGTAACACTCAAATATTTATAATTCTTTAAGAAATACTTAATTTCAATTAGACCTATTTTATTTTTCTAAAGATACATTTATTTGAGAGGGGTGGAGGGGCAGAGGGAGAAGGGAGAGAGAAGCTTAAGCATGGACTCCCCGCTGAGCTCAGAGCATGACTCGGGGCTGGATCCCACGACCTTGAGATCATGACCTGAGCTGAAATCAAGAGTTGGATGCTTAACTGACTGAGCCACCCAGGTGCCCCCAATTAGAACTATTTTAATGTGTGATTCTCTATAAGACCGTTATTTCCATTTTCCTGGTCTCAGACCTGATAATCAGTTACAATAAAATCAAATGAAATAGTCTATGGAATCAATCTGTGCCCTTGGTAATCCCCATTCGTATCAGAGTCACTTTCTTTAAGACAGATGGTGGTTATTTTTGTGGTATGATTAGATTGGTTTTGTAGAAGTTTATATTGATGTTGGGGAAGCTAAGTCAAAGAACTTCTTAAGGGGGAACTTTTAAAATAAAAAATAATTTCCCTTTAAAACAAAAATCACAACTGAAATGTGAATAATTGCAAAATTTCAGAAGATTGTTTCTTTTCAACTAGAAGTTGGTGCCTAAAAGATCTCTAAAAAGTTCAATGATTATGAAAAACAAAAAGCTGGGTCATTATGCTTTTTGTTTTTAACTACATGTCTCTTAATAGTCTAAATTTGGAGTAAGTATCAGTCAGCTGTGTTATTAAAATCTTGGCCTCTTGATGTTTAACCAAATAGCATGTTATATTTTAACTCATAACACAGTTTAATGCTGGAGGCTAACCTTAGGCCGATTCTCTCCCGCCTGTCACAGCCCCACCGTCCGCGTGGCCTTACACGCTGTGCCTCACTCATTTGCTTTACTTGCCCATAGCCTGGAGTTTGTGACTCCTAGCACATTAGCTTCTGCCAGATTATGCTGCAAGAATAACTCTCAAATCTCGGGGTGACATCAGCCATGTTTTCTTTTCATGCACATCGCGCACCACTGGTTGCCGGCATTGGCCACGACCTGCTGCTTCTATCTTCTCATCTCGGGATCCCCACTGTAGGGCACGCCCTGTCTGGAACATGCCATCCTTACAGAGGGAAGGAAAGAAGAGCTGACAAAACACATTGGCATATATTATGCAGTATATCCACTGACCAAAGTAAATCCCATGCCAAGTGCCAGTGGTGGGTGGGGGTAGTGTATTCTCACAGGAAATAGTGCAAGTCACGTGGTGGCAGGCAGGAATGTGTTGTATAGGATGGGGTGCAGTAATAGAATCTGCCACGCCTAGTGTGTGAAAGGGAGAGAGAGGCTCAGGGACCTGCAGTTCTGAGTCTGGCCTGAGTGGATCCGGAGTTTTCTGGCTCACTTGGAGCTGGTGTTTTGATCCCTTCCCGGAGCTGGCTACCCTTTCACACCTGTTAATCTTTCCCTAGCTCCACCCTAAATGTGCTGGGCATTATCGTGTTCCCCAGCAACTCAGCAGATGGCAGCCAGAGCTGAGCTATTTGTAACAATAGTATTTATGAGCATGAGGTTGGGGACAAAGCCCTTCTCTGTTGCAGTCTGGTAGGCAGTTGCAGGATGGAGGGAGAGCAAGAGGAGCTGGAAGGGGACCAGATTTCAGTGGGGGGTGGGGGGGGTAAATATGTGGCAGGTCCATCCTGCCATCTTGCGGTTGTTCCATCCTTTACTCCACTGAGAATCTTTTATGTTAAGCCAACTTCTCTGGATTTTGTGTGAGCTGAAAACTAACTCTAATTGGGAATCCCCTCACACTCTCCATCAGCTCCTTGGTTGTCCCAGTGTGGTTAATATGGGAGTAAACCTTCAAGGAGTCCATCAGAATAGATGGCACATGTTGATGGTGTTGGTAGGAGATGGATGTTAGCAAGGCCCCGAAAGCCAAGGGGAGATTTGTGTGGGCAGTCCCTTGACAGAATTTGTGCCCAAGGGAAGGGCCATCTCGTGGGTCTTGTAAGGACAAAGAAGGGCCCAACAAGGATAGGTACCATCACTCTGTATTTAAGGTACGTGATGGAGGCACAAAACTTGGACTTAGTCTTTGAGTCCTGGGCATGGTCAACACAGCCAGGGGTAGTAGTTAATGGAGTCTACACAATTTTCAAAATTCCAAAAGCTGAGAGGAATCCATACGCTTACCTAAGATAAGGTCGCCCAAGCTAAGGAAAATGTTTCCATTGGCTAGAATTTAATCAGCTGAGACAGTAGCCATGATCAGCTTATACTTAACAGAAGCTTAATTGGGGGTTAATTTTGTTTGATTAATAAAATGGAGAAACCAAGTTATAATTAAGTGAGTGCAGAGTCATGGATGATGGTTCATTGAGGGCAAAGGGATCTTTGCCAAGAAAAGGCTTGGGAACTCTTGTTCTCTGATATGAAGGCATGCAACTTGTCCAAGGTCATTGTCAAGCCAGGACTAGAATGTTCCAGGTCCAGCTACACGGTTCTTCCCTTGCTAACATCAAATTTGGTTAGAGCACATTCCTCAGTGGAAATGCAGAAATTTCTAAAAAGGATTACGCCTGACTCGGGGGTGAGAGGAACTTGGAGGTGCCAGGCTATAGTCTCCAAAGGATTTAAGGAAATGTGTGGCCACCAGGCATCTTGGGGAAGTCATGCAGGCTGCAGAGTAAGATGCCAGTGGGCAGTGGCCAATCGAGCCAGGGACCAGTGCTGCCCCCAGCAGCATGACACGTTCCTGTAGCCAGGCCCCAGTAAGAGAAGACATCAAACGAAGCTGGCTGCACAGGCATTTCAAAATAAATGTGTGTCCTCAGTGCATATGGTCGGGGTGTTTGCTTACGGAAACGCCTTGGGCTGTGTAGAAGGCAAGGATGTCGATTTCAGGTTTCCAGAAGGCGGCAAGGGCCAAGACCAGGGAGATAGTTACAAATAGGACCTGGGTCTTTGTGCCACAGGCTTCTGCTTGTTTCTTACAATTTCAGTGAAGAGGCATCAATTACCCAGGAGAAAAGAATACAGCAAAATGTCTGTTGCAACCCTCAAGTCACCTGTCATGGGGAATATATTAATTTGCAGTTTCAGACCCCAGTGCCGGAAACACTAAAATGGGTTCTCTTCTTCTTCAGGAAGCCTGAGCCAGGTTGCCTGGGTTTGAATTAAGGCTTCTCTGATTACTAACTCTGTGGTCGCTGGCAGGTCACTTTACCTTTTTTGTGCCTCAGTTTCTTTACCTACAAAAAAGAGGAAATGACCTACCTCATAGGGTTGTTGGCACACAGTAAATGCTATATAACTATTAGTTGTTTTTTGTGTTGCTGATGAAAAGTTGCATTTGGACTTCTAAAATAGTAATTCAGAATTTTCATGGAGTGCCTACACTATGGTTAGAGTAGTAACTGTAAGCCAACTGAATGTAACAGAAGAGATGTGCATGTCCCCTGAGACTAAGTCAAAAGAAGCCTTACAGCTTGGCCTTGGTCTTTTGGAACAGATGCTTCTGTAAGAAGTCCCGCTACTCTGAGCCCACCACACGAAGAAAAGCCAAGGTAGCCCCGTGCAAGGCTGGGTGGAGACAGAAGAGAGGCCCAGCCAGCTCCCATGATCCTGCCAAGCCAGCTGAAGCACCAGACATGTGAGTAAAGAACTCATTTTGGAGTTGAGCCTTCAGACAACTCCAGCCCCAACTGTATAAGACCTCAAACGAGAGCCTCCCAGCTGTCCCCATCAACGCACAGAACCAAGAGAAATCCTAAATTTTGCTTTAAGCTTTCAAGTTTTGCAGTGGTTTGTCATGCATAGATAATTAAAACATCTCTCCTCAAGAAAATTTCCCATCATCTGTAGTCCTCTCTTACGGACTGAAGTTTTGTGTCCCTCCAAAATTCGTATGTTGAAATCGAATCCCCGTTGTGATGGTATTAGGGGGTGGGGCCTTTGGGGGGTAATTGGGTCATGTGGGTAGAGCCTTCATGAATGGGATTAGTGCCCTTCTAAGAAGAGGTAAGAGAGTTGGTCTCCCTTTTTCCACCATCTGAGGATGAACAAATTTGTCATCTGTAACTGGGAAGGAGGCCCCCACAGAAGCCGACTGCTGCCCTCACTTTGGACTTGCAGCCTCCACAACTGTGCCAGATACTTTCTGTTGCTCATACGCCACCCAGTCTGTGGTGCTTTGTTACAGCAGTCCTCACAGACCCTCCTCAGGCCCCCCGCCAACCCTGCCTGCAACACATCTGGCCCTTTCTCCACAGTCGCAAGCCCTCACGCCTGTTTTAGGTCATCAAAGAACAATTTAAAAAATGTTTTTCAAGTTAGTCCCCGTTATGTTTTACTGTTGCCTTTTAGACTGTGTGGCAGGTAGGGTGGAGGTGAGTGCCACTTCACGTTTCCCCCTGAAGGAAGCCTGCTCGAGACTTTTCCCAGATAAAAAGAAATCAACTTCCGGGGCGCCTGGGTGGCTCAGTTGGTTGAGCGACTGCCTTCGGCTCAGGTCATGATCCTGGAGTCCCGGGATCGAGTTCCGCATCGCGCTCCCTGCTCGGCTGGGAATCTGCTTCTCCCTCTGACCCTCCTCCCTCTCATGCTCTCTGTCTCTCATTCTCTCTGTCTCAAATAAATAAATAAAATCTTTAAAAAAAAAAAAATCAACTTCCCTCAAGAAAAATTATGGCATTCTTTCGAAAGTTTG